CTCTACAGGCCTTGCTTTAGAGGAGAGTATGTTAGTCTTTTGAAGACTGAATTTAGGTAATTATCCGTTTTACGTGTACATATTATAACCTCAAGGATAACTAGAACAAAAAGACTAAGGGAGTTTGTAGGAAATCTCTGAAAACTTTACCTAATTTTCTTTTTATGAAACGTCCTATTACTGTGCCAAAGCTTGTCGCAGCCGGCTCTAGACTTCCAGTGGAAAATGCCCTTTTTTTTTTTTTTTTTTTTTTTCCCCCTTTCTTCGGTCTTGTTAGAGGTCACAAGAGCTGTCTTCCGTGTGGTTGTGCCTACTCCAGCTGTGTCCCTACACACACTAGTGCTTCTTGCTCCTGAGGACGTTTAACTTATGCAATTCTGTGGCTTGTACAGGATATAGAATATTATACCAAAATATTGTCCTCAGGAAAACAGCGGCTCACAAACAGCTTCTTGTGGTGTCTCTACGTACCTGTTTTTCCTTGCTGTGACCAGAAACATCCTGTTAGCAAGTAACTCCTCTCTTTAAAATGCAAATCAGTCGTCATTGCCATGTTCCTGTAGGGTGCAGGTCCTGTTCTCGCTGCACATCTCCTCCTCCAGCAGATACAACGCGGAGATTTGTTTTAATTACACAGAGTACTGTCGTCTGAAGAGGCATATTCAATAACAGCAACCCTTTTTGTCATCTTGTTCCTACTGTGTGAAAATTGTTCTTGGCTACGAGTCCTCTCTCCATGTTTGTGCACAAGTCATAAGTCCTCCCTTGGTGGCGCCAACAGAAGTCTGTCATCAGTAAGTCTAGCAAAAAATAAAAAAGAGCACTGAGTTAAAAATCAGCTAAACAGTAAATACAAAAAATTAATGTAGTACACTAGACATGTATTTTGTATATCTGGCGTTACATTTTTACAAATAAAATACTTGATTGAGAGAGAATATTGAAAGATATATACTATAGATTAAAAAACTGTTAAAAGTGCACTTTTGCTACAGATTTATAAGGAAACTAAAAGGAATTAAATTGGAAGAGAATGGTGTGATGTTACTTCTGTATAATAAATGACCCCACCTGTCTCCAATAAAGGTCATGTATGGTCAAAAGCACGTGGCCCACCTGCTTCTCCTTGAGTTTCAATCAGGAGCAGAAGTAGAAGTAAGTGGTTAGTCACCAGCTCTCCCCAGTTCCTCTCGGCATGTTGGCTGGCTGAGTGCTTCTGACTAGTAGACTTTTTGTGCGTAAAACCTCTGCGTAAGCCGTTAAAGATAAATAATTCAGCACTGCACAGGGGAAGGGAAGTGCTGGGAAGCCGAGAAGCGCTTGCCCGGCACCCTGACCCGGCTCCTTCCCGCCACCCGTGGCCCCAGCCCCGTTGCTCTGCTCTTTCTCTTCGTTATTATTTCCTATTTCCTTTTCCCTTCTTTACCTCTTCTTGTTGGACTCTGTAAGTTTGGTTCTGTTTGATTTGGAACAAAAACATTAAACCGCAAATAGGGCTGTATGTTTGGAGCTTTTTCGGTTCATTGCGGGGTAGGTCTTCGTTTCTGTGGCCGGACGGTGGCCGGTCGCTTGGCACTGCTGTGCGCTCGTGGCTTTCTCGGTGGCCTTGGTGTCTCCCAGCGCGTGGAGCGGAGCGGCTGAGGAGCCTCCCGAGCAGCAGGCTCAGACTGACCCCCTTCTGCCGCTTCCCTTCCCAGCAGATCCTGCCCTTTGCGGAGAGCTGCTGCCCTGCGCGCTGCAGGAGCGGGCTGGTTTGTGCACTGGTGTCCGGCCTCTTGCGGGCACCAGCAGGAGCGTTTAACGTCAAAACATTCAGAACAAATCGTGTTTGATTGGTACCAGAAAGAGCTCCTGAGACAAGGAAGGCCTTTCCCATCCTCCATCCGAAGGAAACCAGCCTCTGAAACAGCTCATTCCCCACCTGTGGAGCCTGCTGGCCTTTGCGGCGTACATTTACCCATAGGCGATGTGTGTCTGCCTCCCTCTCCCGTTCAGTTCCCCCCAGCAGCTGCAGAGCGGGCACGGATGCCTGTGGGAGATAGTCCTGAGCATGTAAGGCTGAAAGGGCAGCGGTTACGGGGCTTCCCTAGAAAGGGCGTCAGTCGCTCGGGGACACCGAGGAAGGAGCTCCTGGTGGGTGGCGCTGCGCTGATGTGTAACGTGGCCATCCTGGCCCTAAATGAAGAGACTCGCCTGAAGACAGGACCATGGTGCCAGGTGGAGGTGAAGGAGCCTTTTCTTCTCCTTCCCATGGCTATGGGCACAGAGGAAAATAGGAGGTAGTTTTCAGTAGGAGTTAAACAACTTCCACTGTAATTAAGTGGCCTAATTAGCACTCGAGTCGTGCGTGTGTTTCCTTTCGTGAGAAGTAGCCTACATACGCGGTGAGTCAGCAGCACCGTAGAGCTGAAAACGGGGACGGGGTGGCTATGATCCGTGTTGCCTGATCTTCCCTGAGCAGAAAAGACAGGATGCTCCAGAGGAGGGAGTAATGCAGAAAAAACGGGATGCTCCGAAGAAGGGAGTAGGCACCGGAATCACTCACAAAGCAGCTTGACCCCAAGGCTTGGATTTCCTGGGGAAGCTTTTGGAGAGTTTGTCTTGCCTCTGCTGTATCTCCTGCGGTTCAAGTCAGATGAGCACCACGAAGGCCGTTCCTTCGCCTCTAAGCAATGGGCAATTTGTAATGTGCTTTGCCCAAGGATTGGGAAAACGTCCAGAGAGCCAGGGCTCATGTTTCGGAAGCGTGGCTCTGTGGCTGGCGGCCCCGGACTCTACTTAGCCCTGCGTATTGAGTGGGGCCAGAGCCTAGCTCTGCTCCCAGGGGGAAAAGTAAAGGACCCTTTTTTGATGTTTGTTTTGGGTTTTCCTTGAGAAGCTCCATCAGCGCAAGCTCGCAGGCTGTGCCGCTCGCCCGTCCCTCTGCGCTCGCTACGGCCGCGCTCCGTCACCGCCGGCCATCACACAAATATCCTCAAATTCCGTTTCCAGCCCTCCACAGAACAGGCACTTTCTAGAAAATCTGCACTTGAAATCTTCCCAAACCAAAGCTCCACCATTGGAGCAGGGCTTGATGTGACAGAGGCTGGAGGGGGGCCGGGCCCCCGCTTCATCCCTCAGGTGTCCCTGCGGAGCCCCTTGCCTGGCCGTTGACTCCCTCCCCTCCGTATGCAGCAGCCACGGAGCTAAATCAAACAGCTCTGCCGGGAGACCTGCTGGCTGGGGGAGCTGCTCACGGGAGTCAACGGGAAGCGCTCGCCCGCCTGCCGCGCTGCCCGCGTGGTGCGCGGCGAGTGCGAGCGCGGAGCCGGTTCATTGAGGTGCCGGGGGCCGCCGCCGCCCCCCGTGCAGCGCTGCCGTGTGTCGCGCGCTGGCCTGGCCCGGCCACGCGGCCTCGCGCACCAGGTGGATGATGATTCAATTCCCCTCGGGCAGCAGCCGCCGTCAGCAGCCACCCGCTCCTGAGTGGGGCACTGGGATTCCAAGGGGAGCACCGACACAGCCCCAAATGGCTTTGCTGGATCAGTGCTGAAAACCCTGCCTAGCAGCCCCAGAGCTCCAGCGGGGATGAAGGGGTAAAGCTGGAGTGTTGCAGCGCGGAAGGGGGAGAGGTTGTGTCCGAAACAGCCCCAGTCCGCAGGCTGAGCATCCTTGCTCAGAAAATCGAGCATCCTCCACGAGTCGCTGAACCGTTTGCAGCCACGAAAATAGCGGTGCCTTTGGGATTTCATCGGAGCTCAATCCTTCTCTGAGTGCCTGGAATAGGGAAGGAGCAGCCTCCTCCTCAGGCATAGGAAGCCGTGGATGCTGCGGCAGCGCATCCGAGCGCCTCCCCCCCACCCCGCTTCCCATCACCAGCTCCCTCAGTGCAGGCGGTAAAAATAAACCGGGTGCTGCGCGAGCCGCGGGGCCTGGCTGGCGCCCAGCGCCGCAGCCGCCGAGCGCAGGTGCGAAGGACGCCGACCTTGGGGCGCTCCGGCGGGCGCCGAGCGCATGAATGAGCGGCGGCGGGAGCGCGCCCGAGCCGCGAGCGCGCAGCCCCGCGTGTGGACGGGGAGCCGCGAGCAGCCTCGTTGTTATTCTGATCACAGCGTCTCTGATTCACAGCCTTGGATCATGAATATAAGTGAAGACTTTGACGTCAGAGTGGAGATTTATCAGCAGATCCAATGGGGCAGGAATATTAAGTGCAAGTCGGTGCCAGCGCTCTGGCAGCCGTGTTAGGGATGCTCGGCGAGGAATGAGGCTCAGTGCCCTGCTCTGAAAGGACGAGGACGGAGCGGGGGAAAAAACAGGCAGCACAACGGAGGACGCAAGCTGATCCACGGGCATTAAAGCAAGGTAGGGCACGGAGGGGCGCGGATGCGAGCGGGGCCGGGGCTGCTGCTTGCGGCACCTCGCAGCGCTCGGCAGCCGGCAACGAGCAGCCTGCACCGGCGTGCAGGAGGAGGGAGCAGGGAGAAAGTTGCCCTTAGCCGGGCTGCAGCTGCTGCCCTCTCCTTGCCTCCCGCAGCATCCGGGGCTATTAATAGAATTTATTTTTATGCATGGAAAAAAAAAAAAAAAAAAGGAAAAGAAAGAAAAAAATAAAAAAGGGGGAGAAGAGAGAGGAAGGGAAGAAGGCCACAGCAAAGGGCTCGGGGTGGGGGCTGCCGCCTCGGTGCTATAAATAGGCAGCAAGGTGGCGCGGCGGGCGCGGGCGGGGGGAGCCGGGCTGCGGGAGCGCGGGACGGCGCGGGCCAGGCAGCCGCGATGGGCACGGGCACCGCCGTTCGCATCGGACGGGGCTCCCCAGGGTGTTTCTTTGGGGAGGGCGGGTAAAAACGCACCCCGAGGTGGGCGTGGGGGGTAGGGAGCGGCGCGAGGCGGGGGGCACCCGGGGAAGCTGCAGCCGGGCGGGGGGAGGCGGATGGGGACGCGGCCGGTGCGGAGCCCGGTGCGGGGCGCGGGGCGGGCCGGGGGGCGCCCCTCATCGCGGCCTCGCTCCTCTCTCCGCAGCGATGCTGCGCGGCGCCGCCGCCATGGGGGAGCCGCAGGCGCAGCGGCTCGCGGCACCCGGCAACGCGTCGGCGCCCAGCGCGGGGCCCTCGGTGGCGCCGGGCGGCGACGGCGGCGTGGCCGTGAGCCCCTGGGACATCGCGCTCTGCGCCACGGGCACGGCGGTGGCGGGCGAGAACGCGCTCGTGCTGGCCGTGCTCTTCTACACGCCGAGCCTGCGGGCGCCCATGTTCCTGCTCATCGGCAGCCTGGCGCTGGCCGACCTGCTCGCCGGGCTGGGGCTCGTGGCCAACTTCGCCGTGCGCTACCTGCTGCGGCCGCCCAGCGAGGCCGCGGAGCTGGGCGCCGCCGGGCTGCTCCTCGCCGCCTTCTCCGCCTCCGTGTGCAGCCTGCTGGCCATCACCGTGGACCGCTACCTGTCGCTGTACAACGCGCTCACGTACCACAGCGAGCGCACGCTGGGCTTCACGTGCGCCATGGTGCTGCTCATGTGGCTGCTGTGCCTCGGCGTGGGGCTGCTGCCGCTGCTGGGCTGGAACTGCCTGCGGGAGCCGAGCGCCTGCAGCATCCTGCGGCCCGTCACCAAGGACAACGCGGCCGTGCTGGCCGTCACCTTCCTGCTCCTCTTCGCCCTCATGATGCAGCTCTACCTGCAGATCTGCAAGATCGCCTTCCGGCACGCGCAGCAGATTGCCGTGCAGCACCAGTTCATCGCCACGGCGCAGGCCACCTCCACGCGCAAAGGCCTCTCCACCCTCTCGCTCATCCTGGGCACCTTCGCCCTGTGCTGGATCCCCTTCGCCATCTACTCCCTGGTGGCCGATTCCAGCTACCCGGCGGTCTACACCTACTCGCTGGCGCTGCCGGCCACCTGCAACTCCCTCATCAACCCCATCATCTACGCGTTCCGAAACCCCGACATCCAGAAGTCGCTGTGGCTCGCGTGCTGCGGCTGCGTCCCCTCCACGTTCTCGGCCAGACCAAGGACATCCAGCGATGTGTGAGGACTGAGCGCGCGGCGGGACCCACTCCGGCGCTCACCTCCTCCTCCTCCTCCTCCTTTTCCCCTTCGTTGTTACTGCTTCCTCCTGGGAGGAGCCCCCCCAGCCAGCACATCTCGTTCCATGGGAAGATATCCATAAGGAAGGAAAAACAAGAGGGAAAAAAGGGGGAAAGAGAGCGAGAGAGAGAGAGTAGAATGGTAATGATTTCCTTTAGAAAGGTTATTTTCTTACACATTTTATTTTTTATTTAAAAACACAAAACACCAAAAAAAAAGAAAAAAAAAAAAGAAAAAGGGAGAGGAGAGGATGTCGGTACGTGCGGCGGCGGCGGTCTCGTGTCGGGTAAGGAGCAGGGCTGCCCCGGCCCCCGCGCTCGGGTCTCGCTCGGCTGCGCAGCCCGGGGGGAGCTCCGCACCCGGCGCGGGTGGATGGGGGTCCCGGGGGTGTCGCTGCCTCCACGTTTCTTTGGGAAGCACTTTGAGAAGCTGAAAGGCACTTTAAGGCCCCGCTCTGGCTCCTGGCTGCCATGGGGGTGGCGGTGGGGGTTGCCGTTCCCCACGGGTGACAGTGGCAGGGTGTGCGGGCGGGGGGTCCCGCGTGTGGCTGGGTGCCCCGCGCGGGGCTCTCCTTGGCGTGGGGACGATGGGCGGCCCCGGTGGCGCCGCCTCCCACGCTGGTTGTTTACAGGGGGTGGGATTTTGATCCAAAGACAGATCCGGGCTCACTTGGGTCCCTGGAGGGAAGTCGATGGAAAGACACGGATTATTCCGGACGCTCCTGGTTTAACTTGTTTCATTATAGAAGCTACAATTGCCTCGCGTTCCCCGATGAATCCTATGCTGGGTGACGTTAGTGAGACCGTGACGAAGTGTCCTTGATCTTGTGCTTTTTTTTTTTTTTTTTTTTTTTTTTGGTGAAGAAGTGGAATAATGCATTAAAATAAACCCAGCCCTCAGAGAAGCCAGGGGAGGGCTCAGGGAGGCTGGGGAGGGACAGAGGCCGGTGGTCCTCCACGGAGACGAGCCAGGCACGTAGCTCTGCTTTGGAGGTGACACTGTGCTCTCCAGTGCCCAAAGCGCCTGGTTCTGCTCCATTCTGCAGTACCTTGGGCAAAGCAGACCCAGATTCCCGGGAGCACAACCCAACGGCACTGCCACCCAGGGGCTCCTGCTGGGGGGCTCTGGCGGATGCAGAGCGGCTCCGTGCACACGGATCCAGGAGCGACCGCGGTTCCTCTCCGCGCACGGAGCGTCGCTGCCTCCGCGGAGCCGAGCGCGCCCGGGGGAGCCGCTGGCCTCCAAGCACCGTCCTCTGCTTCCCAAGGCGGCCAGTCCCTCCTTCCTCATTTCCTTGCTCCCCGAAAACCTCAGACAGGCACAATGTTGAGTCAGTGTATACACACAAGTATATAGATATATATATTTATAAATATATATACACATACAAGAGAATTATATATAGATTTTACATATATATATTTATATACATATATGTATAAATACCTTTTCCCCATTCATTTCTTTTGACTTCCTTAACTGCAGCTAGGTCCCTGCAGTTGCTCAGTGTGAAAACTCAATGGAGAGTTAATTTAAGCCATTTTTAAACCATCTTGAACATTTTTGCAATGTTTTTATACAACCTGATCTAGAAGGCAGGAATTTATTTCTCCGGGCAGCTCATTTTGTATTTTTAAATGAGATGTAGCATTAACCAATGAGCTCTAGATAAACCTTGGCATAGAGTCTTGTATTTTATTGCATTTCCACTCAATTCCTAGTTTTTCTGATATGCATTTTTTGATTTTATTCAGCTTTCTCTCCCATTTTCATGAGTGGAAAGAGGGAAAATGAGGAGAAGTGAAGAGGGAGATGAAAGGAGCTCATCTGTGGTGTTCAGCATTAAGAAAATTTCTGACCATTTTACTGCAACTCAGTTGTGGGGAAGTTGATTTGTTTGTTTCTTTAAAGAACATTTTACATCAAAGAGAATTTTTAAATGAAAAAACATTCAATCAAATCCCACAGATCTGCGGTCGATAAGGAGAGTTGTCATCCCTTAAGATCTTTACCCTCTCAGCAACGCTGTGTGCGGGGTGGGAAATCCCTGGTGTTCGGGCTCTTTCAATGCCGCCTTTGGGGCACGTTTAGGTACCAAATACGGGCCCTGATGTTGCACGTGGGGAGGTTGGAGGGGAGCAGCTGCCCTGGACATCATGGTACCCATGAGGTTCCATGTACGGGGCACCCGCTCTCCAGGGAGACCTGCAGACACCAGGTGGCTTCTCCAGCACAGAAACCCCCCTTTGTGCCATTCTGAGGATCTAGAACCATGGTGCAGGTGGCCAAGCAACATCCATCGTTTTTACACATTGGGAAAAAAAATGGAGCATTGGTCCCAAGCAATTAGACTTGATCCCAAGCAATTACACTTAGTTTCTACCCAGACCTGAGCCTGTGTCAGCATTCAGCATAGCCAGAGAAACATGAATCTGCTTCCTGTCAGTTGACTGGGTTATTTTTTTTCAAGTTTTCTGTCTGCCTTTTGCTTTCCTGATGAAATGCCTTCTGAGCTGGCACGATGTTGGCTTGTGCTTTTGTCCTCTCCTAGACTGCTTAGGCAGAGGAATTAAATAACAGTCAAGTGTGTAAATTCTACCAACAAAGTGGCCTAGGTTTGTTTTTCCCCTCCACCTTGCTCAGCTTTGATTTTCGGTGAGTGCAGGCACAGCCGCTAGGTTTGCTCTTGTAGCCCAGCTCATCTCAGTAACCAGCACTTAAATATCTCAAGGGTCTCAGTCCAAATGTGGCGGTCACAATTTGCTCATCTCAAACAAAAAGTTTTAACTGAATTTAGAATTAAAAAAAAAAAAAAGAAACAATTACTGTCCTCAATAGGGAGTAAAATACATCTTTCTTGTAGAAACACCTGATTCTGGGGGGAAGAGGGTAGTGTTTAAAAAGCCTTTGATCTTGATAACTGTTTGTATGGATGTATACTTACCAGCACTTGGTCATTAGCAAATAATTAACAGTTCACTTTGAATTGTCAGGAATAGCTGTTCAATGGAGTTTCCTTGTAACGCCTTTTGTCCCTGCTCGACCTTTTCTCTTGGTGGGGAAGTCGCTTTTCCAACCTGCTAACTGTGCTCCAGCTTCTCCATCCCTGACTTCAAGGGGAGTGACTGGGCCTGTCTCTGGCTCCAAGCCCACCAGTGGAGCTGCAAAACAAAGTCTATCCAGAGTCACTTGCCGAATGTTCCCTCTAGGGCACGATGATGGTAGCTTAGAAGCAGAGAAAATATGGGAAATGATCTTCAGATCAGCTGAAAAAATGTTAAAAGTGAAACTACACAGGATAAAATAGGAGGTGGAGCTCGGTGATCTCTCTAGCTGGAAAGGCTGAGGGAAACAGTTGCTGCGTTCATAAATTCTGCTCCGTGTCAAGCGCGGTTTTGTCCAAGCGAGGGTTCCTGCCTCCCGGTGTGAGCATCCCACCGCGGCCGGACGCGGCTGCCACGCAGCGATTACCATATCAATAGGCACCAAAATCACAGACACAGTTTTATGACTTTATTGCAGGATCAGGGAGTTGGAAAACATCTGTGTTGTCCTAGAAAAAGCGTCCCTGGCAGGTTGCTGCAGCCCGGCCTCCAGCTCTGCTCTGCCTCGCCGGCTTGCCCGCCTCGGCGCCGGGGCTCGGGGGGCCCTGCAGACACCCAGATGCTTCGTGGGGGACGTCCACTGGGTATTCCCGTGGGGACCGGGCGCTATCGCAGCCTGTGTGAGGCTTTGGGGGACCCGCGGAGCTCTCAGGTTGCCCGGTCCCAAACACCAGCCCTTCCATGTGCATGGCAAGGGGCACAGGGCGCTGCTGACGCGAGGGACACGACAGGGACCTCCGCGCTGCCCCGGCCTTCCAGCAGCGCGTGCCCTGGGTAGCGCAGCCCCGAGCCATGCTGAGTGATGCCATGGGAAAACAGGGCACTCCTTCACAGGCACAAGCTTTCTGTGCAGCGTTTTGTGCAGAAACCCCCTCCAAGGCAAGAACGGAGCCGCGTACGGAGAGGCTCGGCGGGCTGAGCCCACCTGCCTTATCCCTAGCTGCTTCCCTGGGAACGAGGAGCTCTCAGCATTATCAGGATGGCAAATTATTCCGATGTAACTGTTTTCATTAGCCTTCTAACTTGCCCGGGTGAGTTGCTCTCAAAGGTAGATGTACAATGTACAGTTACTGCTCTGTTATGGTTAAATAAAGCCCCTACAATGCACTTTATGAACAAGTGAAAACAAATCAATGCTGTTATTGCACTGTAACTCTATTGTGTATAATATTATACATTCATCTGTAAGAGTAATTTATTTTTATTACTGTAAATAAAACTGTTCAAGTGATTTGTCAAGAGAATATCCAAAAAATGGGGGGAGAAGGGGTTAAAATTAAAACCTTTGAAGATCTGGGCGCTCGTCCCAGGTATGTGCCATCCTCTCTGTGTCTGTGGTTTTCTTCCAGCTGAGGCCGCGCGAGCAGGGGACACTGGAGCAGTCACCTACTCCCCATGGCCTCCCACGGGGCTCATTGCCAGCCCTGGCCAGTGGCTTTCTGTGTGTCCCTGCCTACATGTCCATGGTGTGTGGTGGTGGCTTTGGGGGCAACATTCCTCCGTGATGAGCTCATGGTCATGAGGAAGGGCCTAAGATAGACCAGGCCCTGGTGACCACCCTGAGGTGGAGGCAAGGGGGAAACCTTGGATTTGAGACTAAGAAAAAGGTGTCACCCCTGATACCCTTGAGCAAGAGCTGGTAACTGGGATCTGGAGAGGAGGTGGGTGGTGCTTGTTCCTGGAGAAAGACCCACAGGAATCACAGGTGATGAGGGGAACCTGAGGGATTTATAACCCTCAGCTGGAAGAAGGTTTCTTGATGGGAGCTTATAGGATGACTGAATCCAGCTGCTTTTGGAGGAGGATTTAGTTGGGACTTGCTTGGCTGAGCCTTTCTGTGAGGATGATGGTGGCAGGAGTCCCAGGTTGCTCCCTTATGCCTTGTGGGCACTCCTGTGTCACTGATTCCTGGCTATGGGGCCTCTGTGTGGCCTAGAGCCAGGAATGGGCTTCTTGGCAGCTCTGTTGGTGTGTCCTGTTGTGAATGAGTACTCACCATGCAGCCTCCTGCTCCCCAACTGGATGCTGGGCATGAGGAGCACTTCTACTGTGCCGTGTGGCCACACAGGTATGTTACTGTGATGCTTAGACATGCTTTTAGTAGCCTGGAGATCTTCTTCTATCTACCAGAGGGAGGAAGAGGAGGGAAAACCAGATATTGGACAGCCCCAATCAGTTCAGCAGGAAAGGGGAGAAAAGCTTGGTGACAGAGCAAATCCCCAGGAGATGGGGAGGAAACCAATCCCCAGGCAAAGGAAGTGGGAGAGGTCGCTAATGCATCTGCCTGGCCCGTTGCCTGTGGTTTTCCCCTGACCTGAGGTTGGTGCTGGCTTGGACCTGGCTTCCCCCACTGCTGCAGCTTGGTGTTGAGTCTGCTTTCATGCTTTCAGGCTCCTGGTAAGGTTGATCTTGGAGGAGAAAGTGTAGCCTGGAGGGACTAGTCTACCCAAGCAACTTGCTTGAAGAGGAAAGTAAAACTCTGGCAGGTTGGGGCAATTACAAAGGGTTCACAGGTGTGTGAGCAGGCTCAGGGTGTCCCCAGGCTTGGTTGGTCATGGATCAGTCTGGAGCCTTCATGCAAAATGTCCAGGGCAGCAGTTTTTCTCCCCAAAAGCAATCCTCTGCTACCTAATTGCCCCAATAGGCAGGGATTAGATGCATGTGGAAGTTAACTGCTCTTGGAGAGCTGTTTCAATGAGCTCAGGGTTATAGGGATCAGGGTTATAGGGATCAGGGTTTTACAACCTCCTCTCTCTCTCTTCTGGGAGCAATAATTGGGTAGCACAGGGCTGTCAATTCTTCTGTTTTTACTCAACGCAAATGGACTCACCAAGAGCAAACTGACAGCAAGCCAAAATGTAATATACGTTAACCTCTTAAAATCTTTATTTTTCTTTTTCTTAGCACATGCATAAAGTGTCAACAGTTTGGGATTATGTTGTATAACATTTTTCAACAAATGTAGTTACGAGCAGTGTTTCTGACCTTTTCAGGCTTCCTCTCTACCCTGTACAGAAGGAAGTTCACTTGGCCACCAAAACTGTTCCTACCTTGCTTTCCTAGTGTCAAGACAGGCAGAACCCACAACACCGGGGAGAAATAACACTTCTTCACATTTAGCAACTGTGTACAGTAGATAGATACAAGCAGCAACATATACTCACCTATTGACTAAGTGCACATGGTTAAAAGACCCCATTAGACAGTGAACACTTTTAACTTTTTTCTTTTAATATCAACTATATAATAATGGAAACTGAGTCGTATCATGTGACGTGTGCTCCCTTGTGTGGGAGAGACGCCTCTCCCTCCTGTCAGTTGCTTCTCCCGAATGACAAGTCAATGGGAATTGGGATAATCTCTCATTTGGTGTGAGCAGATGAGTATGTCGTGCGAGTAGAGGAGCGTGTGGCTCGTACCCTTGGGGAGGGCAGCTCAAGGTGATGGAGCTGCTGAACCTCTCCCAGCTCCGGACCTGGCTACAGGGGGATGAATCCCCCCTTTTTTTTTGGGGGGGGAGGCCGACCTGGCCCCTCTTTCCCTGCCCTGTCTTTGGGACCAGAGCCCCCAGCTCGTGGCGGGTGAGTTTGGGTGCACAAACTGCTTTTTGGGGTGCCTGACTGGCTCCCTGCCCAGCCTGGGCTAGCCGCAGGCAGCAGGGACCCTGAGAGGACCCTCATCTGGCTTTACTATCCCCCCAAATTAAGGCTCTCATAGCTCCCTGCTTTGTGCAGAGGCAGCAGTGTTGACATGGACAGGAGATGATAACCCAGTAGCACAGAGCAGCCTGAGGACACCCTGTCCCGTTACGGTGTTTAGCATCACCCCTGTGGTCTTGAGAGGAGGAAGACGAGGTGGAGCAAGGCTCTCCTGCCAAAAAGGGCACCTCCAGCACACCGCACCTGCCCTACACAGGTGTAAATATTTGCCTTAAGATGTACAGCTGCCAAAGCAGGTTTTTCTTGGGCCAAGCTCAGTGGTGGCCACTGGCCACGCCGTCGCTGTGCAGTCGCAGCCTGCAGCAAAGGATGAACCCCATTGATACCTGAGTGGTACCAGCTTGGGGGTGCAGAGGGGTGCCTCTTCCCCTAGGTGAGGGCACCCCAAAATTGTATCTGAAATGCTCAGATCGCTGCCCCTCTCCCTTCTCCACCCAGGCCAGCCCTCACAGAGAAACGCAGCAGCACCAGGCACGTCTGCACTGGCCGGAGGAGCTTGTGCTCCTTGGGGATGCAATGGAGATGTCTGTAAAAGGCACTTGTATCAATCCTGGATTCCAATACAGCTGCGTTTCCACCCTCCTTCCTGCTGAGACACAGGAGCTGAGCCCCCGCGCGTGTGACACAGAGCAGCCTCTTGTCACGAGGGAGAAAAAAACCCAACAAATTCCAAGAATGATGTTTCATAATCAACTCAAACGCACGCTGTGGGAATACTTTGTTTCAGATTTCCCTGGGCACGTCAAGCCGCCTAAAAACGAAGGGAGCCTATTAATTTGGCTCTATTAAGAGCTATCAGACTTGAAACCCTCCCACAAGAGCATCTCGGAGTGAGCGCTTTCTTGTTGGCATGCTCGGTTTGTTGGTTTGCTCGTTTGATTTGATCTGCTCCAATCTGGGATGAAAGGCAGCGCAAAGAGAGGCTCATTTGCAAGAAACTGGCTGGAACAAAATGTAGGTCTGAAATGTTTCGGTGTAAAAATATTTTAGAGGAGGAGGGATCAATGCTTGTAACAGTGTGATCTTTGGAGACATGGAGGGACTTGCTGAAGTCACCTCTCCCAGCACCACCATATCTGCAAAGCTTGAGCTAGGGAGAACCAGTAGTGCCCTGGTCTTGCTGGGAGCACCAGATTTCTCCCCTTGGCACATTTTCACCCTGGCTTTTGTTCCCTTGCAGCTACTGGGGATACAGAAGTGTCCCCGTGGGCTCCTGCTCCGGACAAACATGCTGGGTGGCTCCACGTGTGGCCCAGCAGCAACCCAAGGAGATGCAGCAAGGGCAAGAGGAGCCTGTGTAGGTGCTACCCACCACCAGGGATGTTCTCCCGTTCGGCAGGGCTGGGAGCACAGGTGATGTAGCGCGACACAGCGTTCACACGTCCTGCTGCCCACCCCTGCGATCCCCTCTACTCGCACGTGCTCACCGGCTTCCTTCCCATCCGCTTTCCAAGCAAGGAAATGAACCTCTGGGAAGCCTGGGGCTCCCCCAGGAGCTGTTTTCAGGGAGCCCAGGACAGGTACTAAGCAGAGCAGAGCCAGCACAAGCCTGACCGTTACTCCTGCCTCGAGTGAGCCCTGTTTTGAGGAGCAACATAACACAAGGATCTGTCTGACTTCTGCTCTCCCTGCTTTCCCTCTCGCTGCCCCTCACCAGCCTCTCCAAGGCAGCAGCTGCTCAGACCTTGGGAAGAGTCTCATCCACCCAGAAAAGATGATTTCTTTTTTTTTTTTTTTTGGCTCTTCAAGTAATTTTTAATGCTTGTCCCTGCAATCAGTAGAAAACTAATTGCATGTAAAGTGCTCCGGAAATATCTTCCCTGCAGTGTAAGAAAACCCCTGTAGCACAAAAGGAGGGAAATACACATGTAGATAAAGGCTCCCCTCTGTATAAGGAGAAATGCTGACACACTCCTTATTTCCAACCTCTGATTTAGAGCAATAGCACCTTTCACCCTCAAGTCTCACCTCAATTGAAATCAATAAGTCCTCAGGGTGCAATACGGTAGCTTCAGCAGGCTCCAAGTCCACTTTGATTTAGAAGAAGATTTTTGAGATTTTTTTTTCTTTTTTCACGGTAAGTGATTTGCTTTCACAGGTGCTCCGACCTGAAGTACCAGCACAATGCAGACACAGGTAATGGGTGAAAAGCAAGGGGGGTTGAAGACAGTGAGGTGGGATGGGTCTTCCGAGAAAAAGCACCTCCTAAGATGGCAGGAGGCCAATCTACCTGCTGAATTATGGTCTGATGTGCTGCTTGCTCGAGTCTTATTTCCCTGATGCTTGTAAACCAGTTTTTGAAAGGGGTTATGGTGAAAGCTGCTCTATTTTTCAGTGGCTGCCTGGGCAATACCATTGGGTCAGGTTTTTCTTCTGGGTGGAGACTCTTAGCAGTAGTTGAAGGAGATCAAACAGCTCGGTCCTTCTGGAGATTATGTGTAAACTTTAGGGACAGTGGAGCTAATCAGTGGATAATTTTCAAAGATATTGGCCTTAAGCTGAAAGAAGAGCAGTTTGCAAACTATGAACCATCAAAGAAGGGCCTGTGAGGAACAGGCTGCCTGAGACCTGGAACTTGTTGCTATTGAGACACTCTAGGAGCAGCCCCACAGCCTCACTTCCCTGCAGCAGTTTCACATCTTTCCCTCTCAGGTTTATTCTGCAGTAACTATAACCTTTGTTGTATTTGAGGCTACATTGTCTTCAAGGACACCTTGGCCAAGCAGGGGCCATGTGGGTGTTAACTGCACGGTTCCTGCAGGGACGGTGCATCCTCTCGCTCCTGCTGCTGCACAGTCCCCTTTAGTCTTGGGTGCCTGTGACCAAGCCAGAACTTTTCCCACCAAAGAAGAACCCCATGAGGGTGGACCACAGCGTGCCTGCCCCTGTGCAGTTTGTGAGCGTGCTAGCCTGAAGTCTTTGGGGCAAATCATCCACTGAACTCCATGACCACTTGTCCTCAGGTACAATTTTCACCTACAGAAAGCAAAGCCTGAGCAAGTGATCCTAAAAAAAAACTGGGGCTTGATAAAGGATCATCAGATTCACCTTCCAGGTCTCAAAAAGACTGAAGTGTATCAAAGCCTAGGCTTTGTGCAAATGCCTGCAGGAAAACTAGTTCTATAAGCTTACAGGGCACCACACAAATTGCACGGAGCAATTTCAATTCCTAGCACATAATCACAATAGCATTCCTGGGTATGTTTCCTCTCATACATGACGTACTATGGTCACCACGAATCAGAACTGCCCCATCCTGCATGCAGGTAAGTGGGGAAAGGACCATCCTAGGGAATAGCTGCCCTTTTGAAGAAAAATTCAGCACGTCTCCCTGGGGAACCCAGTCTTACAGCAACGTGGGCCACCAACTTCACCTTGGTGATGGGCAGCTGGGTGGCCCTGCTGCTCCTGTGCTTTGCTCAGGCACTTCTGCATAAAGTGTAGGGGCAGGAGGACATCAGTGGGAACACAGGCATGGTGCTGATGGGGGGCACCCATCTAGGGGCTGCCATTGCTACCGCAGGGGCACCGTCTTCAAGGTCCCATTGCCCCAGCAAGTCTCTCCTGCAATGACCATCACGGGGAGGGTAAGTTCATGGGTATGTAAGTGATTGAGCAGTTGTGTCTTCTAAAGTGCAGTGCAGGTTAAATGGTCTTTGCTGTAAACTGTAAGCTCCTCAGGACAGAGTCCTTGCCCTTACTTTTATTTTTGTCTGTAAAGTGACATGCCAACCTATAATACCTTACCCCTAAAGACAACAACAACAACTACAGAAAAGCAGTAAACGTGGTGAGAACAACAACATACGATGCCCTTGCCAACATCTAGTGCCAAAGGACATTGACCTCTTTGCTGGGACTTTCCCGTGGGAGAGCTTTCCTCAGAAGAGGCCTGGTAATGAGTAAGTCTCTTCCCATGGCACACCATGACCGGACAGTCCTCCCTGGGCTCCCCATGCTCAGTGTTCAGGGACACATCATGGTGAGAGATAGAGCTCTGAAAAATACCTGCCAGAATGTTCATCTCCAAAACTACAAACTGTGAAGCTGTGGGGCATTCACTGTTAAAGCTAAAGTATTAGTTGGGGCTCTGTGGCCAGGGATCGCTGTGAGGTCTGCAGAGCCTGAGCCACCACTGCACAGCGCTTCGTCCCCAGTGACCCGAATTGTCACCTGTGTTACAGAAATTACTGCATCCAAGTGGAAAAGCGAGAGAAGACCTAAAATAGGAGAAGTTGTCTCTTTGCTAAAACACATAGTTTAGACTGAGTGTGTTAAGAGATAGAGGCAGATGAGCTGCAGGGAGGAAGTTTGAGGGTGTTTACGCTCAGAAGTTACCCCATGTTCAGCATAATGTTTATCAGCAGTATGAAACCTTCAGAGGACAAAATAGCTGCAAAAGCAGGAGACATCACAGGAGGTGATGGTCACTCTTCCCTAGAGATTTACCTGTCCAGGTAAATTGGATGTGCGTAAGAGATCTCTGATGGACCTCACAGAGTAGAGGCTTCCCTAGCTATCTACAAGCAGAATCAAAATAGCTTATTTATTTTGTCACTGACTCTGGCCTAATTCATTTGTATGCACGTAGAATACACTTCCCACTGTCGGCAATCTTTTATTTATTATTTTTAATCTACGCCCATAAATTGGCAAGTAGGGAAAGGCAGATAAAATGGAAGGGGATCTCTCAAGAGAGAGGTTGGGCTCATTAAATGTTTGGCACTCTGTGATTATCTTCTGGCAATAAAAGGCTGTTGCTATATTTTAACGTGGAACATGATACTTTAATGTAGAGGAGAATCTCCTCAGCCTACTTTTGGTACACTTGAGAGAGAGGAGCAATTCAATCATCTGTGACCTGAATTGTATTTTTAATGGCTGCCAGGCTAGATAAAATATTTAAATATTCACTTTTATATCAGCACACATGGGGATTTGAGTGTTTCAGGTTGTATAACAGAGCGTGGCCTACTTTTGGAAGAGTATACGGAAATAGGCACATATGTACAAAATACCAAGCATGCAGCATATGGGTCAAATACTCAGCCAGTGTTAATTAGGATAACACAACCGACTGCATCAGAGCTAGCCTGATCCAGATGACCCAAGGAGCTGATGTTACTCACATTTGATTTTGTAAGTGACTCGGGCAAGAACGATGAATGCTCCTAAATTAAAGATGGTCAGCCTCAAAGGTGACCAAGTCCCTCAACCAAAGAGAAATGAGGGTGTTCAAGCCTGTTAGCAGAGCTGGCCTTACAGGAATGGGGTCAGCTCATCAGGTGTCTACGTCTGATGAAGTCAAAGGACCAAAGGCAGACTATATCACTGGAAGAACTGAATCGTCACATGCAGTGGGCAACATAGGGAGGTTATGATCCTGCTGACTTGCTTTGGAGTTTGGCCTATGAAACGGGCTCTTTATTAGGTAGAGGGAATTCCCTTAAGCAGAGTGCAAATAGCATTGATGTGCTGGAAGGCCAGAGGGAGGAGAAAGTGGTGTGAGAGCATAAATGAGCCAGGGAATGACGGTGCACTCTGCTCCTCCTGCAGTCACACGGTTCCTGGCTTCACCTCTGCTCTGCAGACGTGACCCAGGCAGACAAGGTTTGATTTGTGTGATTGTCGAGCACTTTGCCATGTAATTGGCACTGACCCTGACAACAACAGGGTTAAATGATCTGACTGACTGCTGTCAATCCCAAACAGAGCCAAGTTCACTACAGGGAAGTGGGAGGCTACAGGGTCAATCCTGACTCACCGTGTTCCAATGTGGGAAGCCCTACTACAGCCATAGCTCATGCTATGTCCTTCACTAGTCTTCTCTCTCTCACAAGTGCACAAAGCATTATTACTTTTCCCAAATTTTCCAAACAAAACCACTTTTTTTTTTTTTTTTTACCATACACACACCACATCGCAGTCACATCTATATTAACAATATTTCACCATACATATGAGGAAGTTACCAGTTGGATGTTATTCTGAACTTTTACAAGTTTCTCTTTTGAACTTGCACCAGGTCAAACCCCATCTGCTTTGATGAGAAAAGCCCCTCACGGGCATTGCAGTGGCTATTTGCCTGATTAAAGACATCAGGCCTTGGCCAAGAGTTTATGTTGTCACTTCTGGGTCTCCTCTAGCTCTGAAGAGAGGGTTGATGCCAGAAGCAAGAGGCTTCATCTGTGCAGGCTGAAGCAGAAGTTGGGTTTGACCTGCTCTGGCCAATCTCATATTCTAAGGTCTTTCTCTGAAGTTCAAAGTGCCCATCTTTTTATAAGCTGAGTCAATGAACACTCAAGGAGGCAGCAGAACTACTAAAATAATAAATTCTGAGGTTAAATTAAGGATTTTCTGTACACTTACTACGCTGGCTATTAGCCACATTGAAGTCAATGTGAATTTTACCTAAGTAAAGGGAAAATCAGACCTAGTAATGCCACAGGGAGAAGGCCAAAGACAGTGCAGAGAACTGAAGATTCATTGACAGCGTAGCAAGCTTTGCTTCCCACCCTAAATCCTTTTCAAACTCACCTTTATTCTCTCCCATATTCAGTGCTACTTCCTAGTTCAAGCTCCCAAACTCAGCCCTGCAACTCAGACAAAATCCTGTGCCCTGCTTGCAGGAGAGCATCCTTCTCCCCTAGACCCTCCTGAGATTTATTTATCCCTCACTCCCACTTCCACGCACATTCACATGGCAGCATCCACTCAGGCTGCCCACCACTGCCAAATATATCACTCCCAAGACTGACTCAGAGGCTTGCCGTGGGTGGGGAGAAATGTTGTGTGCTTCTAAGAACTGCCCATATCTCACCTGAAGGAGTCAGTGGGATGCAGAGATATGGGAAGTGTCAAATCTAAAGGATGGAGAATATTTTGCTTTAGTCAGGGTAAATGATGGCTTATGGTGATATTTGCTTTCAGCACAAGGAGGGGAAGGAAGAGGAGGGTTGTGTTCAGTTCACCTCACCAAGAAAGGTTTCTTTCTAACGGGAAAACAAATAGATACTCGGAGGCATCATTCAATACAAATATTTCTCAGGGTGAACTGAAACATCAGCCAAATGATGTCTTTATGAATCTTTTGAGTCCTAGACAATTCCTTCCATCTCTTTTCTAGGTCTATTCACTTCTAGGTATTGAAAACACATTTTGCATCCCTTGGCTCTTTGATGCTCACCTACCTGGCCTTTGCGAAAGCCAGGGAGATGGGCCAAAGGCAAAACCCTCACCAGAAGAGACACGATGTGGAGATGCAGTTTCCTCCCATTCAGGGGCTCACAGTAAATAGGAATACTTCAGCTGGTGAGCTGCATAGGTCTCCTGCTGGGGTGGGCCCTTGCATGGCCAGACGTGTCAGCCGGACAGGTTTACGGATGACACTGGCCCATTTTCGGCTGTTCAGAAAGCATTTCCAGTTCTCTGCAAATTCTTACTCCTGACTGTGATATTTTCGGTGTTTCACACCCATTCATTCCGGCTTCCCATGAATTCTCCTATAATAGCTGCATGGAGACGCTTCTATGAATCACACTCTCTATTTTGAAGAACCAACCACCGAACACGCGCTGGTATTTTCAGCATCGTGGCTGAGGCCTGATTCTGCCAGGCTCCCCCGTCAGTGCCTTGCTTTGCTGCAGGCCACCCCCAGGACCCTCTGGGAGGAAGAGGAAGCGGGAGAATCAGGCCTGCAGGAATCAGTGCTCCAGATCGGAGTTAATCTCAACCGTACCAGCACAGCTTGTGGAACTACAAAGTGCAAATCAAGAGAACAAGAATAAACTTTGTTCTCACTTCCTCTCCCGGGTTTAAGTTTACCTACAAGCAGCATTTCATCTAGTTAATATATTTTCAAACAAAAATAAAATCATATAGTGCTAAGGCCAATAATAGTTGGGCTCGAGGAAAACACCCTAGGCAATGCAGCCCTCCTGCTCCTTGTAGGTAGCCCACTTCCCCACTCCAAGGAGACCACGCATGGCACCTCTCCAAGGAGTGACAAATGCCTTGTTTCTTGCTAGTTGTGAAAGAGCAGCTCTCAAGGTGGTTTTTGCTGCCCTTGCCTCACACTCTTTTCCCCGAGAAAAGTGGTCCCAAGGATGGAAACACATCAGAAAGGTCTTGATCTTCTCCTGGAGTCCACCAGCGAGTGACACCAGCACACAGTGACAGCCTCCCACTGTCCCACTGCTGTGAAACACGGTGCTTAACTCCAAGGGAAAAGGAGTATGTGCCTATGTGCAACTTTCAGAGCAGCAAACGGGACTGGCCCTGGCTCATGCAGCCCCAAGCCACAACTTTGGACACTAGAGCAAAACGCAAACAAGTGCCTGACGGTCTAAATGCCGATGATCAGCTGGTGATATCAGCTACCAAAAAAGGTTTCTTTTCCAGTAGATTCTCATTACAAATTTAACATCTAGCTGAAAAAGCACTGTTGTGTCTCAATTTTCTCTAAAAAATATATTGCAGGCCAGTCTCTGATCTTGTTTACACAGGTGTAAATCTGAGTAATTCTATTTACTGGGGCTTCATAGTGTTTTCGACGTTGCTAAACATGAAGGTGCTGCTAATTGCTAATTATTATCATTGCTTCAGAGGTGTATCCTACCAATGCATACCCTCCAGCGGTAATGCTGCCAGAATTTTTTTTGACATAGTGTAAAAGCAAAGCTCCTGAATAAGTGGGGCTAACTGCAGACCATGGTTGGCATTGAGTTTTGAGGAAGGCGTCTATACGCACCTGGTGTGGAAAAGTGGTGCATAGAGTGGAGGAGCTACCATCCAACACAGCATCCCAGGCTCTCTCAATCAGACCACTCGTTATCGTCCAGTTCTGAGTCATCATCGGACTCACTGTACTCCACCGCGATCCGTCGGGAGAGGATCGTTGCCACGTCATTGCCCACAGGCTCTTTCTTGGCCTCTTGCTCCCACTGCTCCTGGACTTTCCGGAGCTGAATTCCTGCATGAGAAAATGTGGGAAATTTTTAGGGCTAGCACATCTATCACGCATGCAACCATACTGAACTGGCAGCCCGTTAAGATAAAAGGGTCTCCAGTGGTAAATTTCTCCATATTCCCAGAAATTTGGAGGACAAGAGGAAATGGCCTCAAGTTGTGCTGGGGAGGTTCAGGTTAGATATTAGGTAAAATTTCTACATAGAAAGAGTGGCCAAACATTGGAATAGGCTGCCCAAGGAAGTGGTGGAGTCTCCATCCTTGGCAGTGTTCAAGTAATGCATAGAGGAGGCACTTAGGTACATGCTTTAGCAGACATGGTGGTGAATGGCTTGTGGTTGGACTCGATGACCTTGAAGGTCTTTTCCAACCATAATGATTCTACGATTCTATGAAGAGTCTGTAATAATGATAAATGAACGCACTTCAGTGCGGTGTTTCCTGACATTCACATTAGCCCAGTGCAGCCTCTCTCTGCTGCTTCTCGTGTCTTCAGATAACTCCTGTCTCCCTGGAGAGCCCATCCTAGCACTGTTTTCACCCTCCTAATACCTCTTTTCCTACACAGAGTCCCACCCGTGTGTCCCTGTCTTCACATGCTACCTGTCACCCAACCCTGCCGGCCCTGTGGCCACAACTCACCCCTGCGGATGGCAGCCAGCAGGTCGCTCCTGGCGTCACTCATGGGGATCAGCGGGATCTGGGCTTTCCGGGGCTCCACGGTGACAGCCGGGGGTGAAGCCGAGTGCGCTGGCGAGGCGGCCACGGCAGGGGGGCCCGGCGGCGGCGGCGGGGGCGCCACGGGGGGCCCCATGGGACCGGCGTGCGGCGGGGAGGCGGAGTAGGGGCAGGGCGGCGCGGGGGGCGGCGAGGGCGCGTAGGCGGCATGAGGCGCCGAGGCAGCCGCGCCAGCGGCCAGCGCGGGGGGCGCAGAGATGGGGCTGTCGAAGGCGGTCTGGGCGGAGGGGATGACGGGCGGCGGGGGCGGCGGCGCTGGTGGCACGAAGTATTCGGCCATCGGCGCCTGCTGCTGCCTGCAAGGGAAGGGGCAGCGGGAGCATCAGCGGTGGCTTCTGCTAATGGTGGCCAGAAGCAAGTGCTATGCACCTGCACAGGCCCTCCTGCTGCCATGGATTGTATCTGAACCCTGGGAGGGGACATGCCAGCACACAGGGCTATGGGACACCATGTGGACACCAATGTCCCGGAGAAAAACACTCCCTGCTACCTGCCTTGCCCTCATCTTATCCGGGTGAAGCGCTCCCCTTGGCTCTGCCCCAGACATGCAGCCACCCAAGAGAGCAATGCCCACCGATCTGCCCCCACTCCCACCGCTCTGCCTCACCCTACCAACAGTTTCAGACGGTGCCAGCTGCAGATCAGGCCTCGAGCAGCTGCTGGGACCTGCACTGGGCGAGTCCTATTGCTGCCATGAGCCAAACTCTTTGGGTGCCCTACAAGGAATGGGCCCCCTCCCGCCTTGCCCCTCTGGGGTGGCCGCTGGGTTTGCTGGGCATGGTGCACGGAGCACTGGTGGGACTGGGAGGATTCAGCCTGCTTGTCTTCTGCAGGAGGGCTGAGATGGGCACTGCTGCCTCTCTAGCCTGCCAACCCATTAGCTCTGCAGACCACTGAAAGCGGAAGGACAAGGCTCAGAACAAAAGAGGTAAATGTCCATACCCGTAATCCTTGACTAAGTGAGGCCTTGGTCCATTTAATATAGCCTCCGGAGGCGGCGGCACGCTCGGCTGCTGGACACGGTTGAGGCTGTTCTGGCGGCTTCCCGCCGCCGAGGGCCTGTAGACGTGCTCCTGGGCCTGGTTAGCCACGAGCGCGGCCTCCTTGGTGTCCGCCGCCAGGTGGGAGGCCGGGGCGAGCATCTGCTGCGCGGGGTGGTTAGGGCTGGCGGGATAGGAGTGATCAGCAGCGTCGGACGCGTAAGATCTGCAGCACACAGAAACACCACGGGTTGTTCCCTGGAGGGAAGGTTGGCTGGGAGGAGAGGTGTGGAGAGCACGGGGTGACATGATGGCACCAGCTGGCATCTGGGACCAGGGCAGTGAAACACAGGGGGAGGCCACAGAAATACAGACATGCAAGAAAGCACTGAGAGAGCAGAGGGCAGGAGCACACCAACAGAGCTGGACTAGTCTCTCGCTGTTGCGAATCTGGGTTGACATCTTCCCATGCTCCTAAATGAAAAGTGCTTTGACCTTCTCTCCATGGAGATCTCAGCACCAAGGCTGGCTCCTGAGGCCAGGACACCGTCCTGGGAGTCAGGGTGCTGGATATGCAACTGCATGGACCTAAGGCTTATTGCCCTAGCCTTGTTTGCTAACCTATGAGCCCTTCCCTGATCTGGACTCCATGACCACCCAAAGACTGAGAAGAAAAAAGAAAAGTGAAGAAAAGCAAAGAAAATCCAGTGAGCTAAATGTGTAATAGGTAAAACCTGCCTATTATCTGGGGACAGTGATCCTTCCGATGAGGCCATGTGATATGGGGATGGTGAGAACCTGTTATCCGGTCGAAACTCTTTATCATACGCCATCATGTTCCACTCCAGGCGCCGGTTACGGGCTTTCCTCACTTTCTTCACCTCCCGGGTGGAGTCTTCTACTAACCGCTGTTCCTGGAAGCAGACAACAAGTCCATTAGCATACCTGCAGCCACGCAGGCCAAGCTGGTCACTGGACATGACAAAGAGCATCAGGAATGCTCCTTGACCAGACACTGAGCCCATGGGCACCACCAGCATCTGCTCAGAATGTGTTCTCTAGATGGGATGGGGCAGGAGCAGAGCTGTAAAGCTGGCATGGGAAAGCTGGAACCACAGATATCTGGGAGTTGGCAAAGATCAAGTAGATATCTCATCGGCCTTACACGCTGTGATGGATTTGTTGCTCTGGATACACCCAGAGACCTACTACAGCCCACGCAGGGGTCAAACCCACCTGCAGATTTGGGAGCTTGGGTTATACTGCTGCCATGCTATTTCTTGTCTGCAGACTTGAGCCTACACCTCACCCATAGGGACCTCAGGTGGGCCCTAACCAGGCAAAATGGGACAAGAAGTAGGAACATCACATGTGGGGAAACTGTTCAGAAGGAAAGTATCTTTGAACACATCCCTGGGCTCCTTAAACACCCTGCAATATACCTGTGTATGAGAGGACCTTGATAGTTTGAACAGAAACTTCAGATTTCCTCCCTCATGTCTGCTCAGGGCCCAAGTCCTTCTGACTCCTTTAGTCAGGGGTATGCCAGGCAGTGGGCATAAATCCAAGAAGGAGGAGCACTGCAGGTGTCAGTGGGATATCATGAGATTCAGCACTATGAGAAACAGGTGGTAGGAATAAACCAGGAAACACTTCATAGAAACCTTCAGGCCTGGACTGGTCATTAGGGAAATCACAAACAGCATTTTTGGAGCTCCACCTCCATTCAGCTCCTTCAGACCATGACTAATGCAGGGGTTGCAACCCTCAGCACTAGTAAATGACCCTTCAGAGCCAGTCTGGCAGCACAGGGTTTGTAGTGACAGAGGCACCATGGAGATGGACCCACCTCAGCAGCTGGGAGAGCACAGGAGAAACTCCAAGTAGAATAAACTAATTCATGGTTAGCCTAATTTCCAGTCATTGTGAGGACCCTCTGTGCCCTTTACCTTCTGTCTGCGCTTCTCCTTTCTCTTATCCTCAGTTGCCTGCAGCATCTTCTCTTTCCATAAGTTGAAGAAATAGGAGGGATCAGTATAGAATTTGAGGCCATCCTTCTTGTCATCTCTGGAGGTATTTAAGGAGGGACAGAGGGAGTTATTAGCCACAGGAGGAAATCTCAGGGGAATTTCAGTGCTATCTATAGAGATGCACAATAGATCCAGTATTTGGGAAATTCAGCAGCCCAGTTCCTTGCCCTCCCCAGTTGTTACCACTGTCAACCACAGCCCACGCCACTAGCTCTTCCCCCTGTACACTACACTCATTTCCTCTCCTGCAACGTGGCCGAGCCCAGGCTTTACACACAGGCCACCGGAGGGACATCAGAGAGGATTACTGGGCATTATAGGCTCACCAGCTGATCCAGTAACCAAGAAGACCCCATCGTTTCCTGGAGAACCCTGAGGAGCAAGGTTTGGATACAATCAGGACTATAAGCTGTGAGGCACCCACGAATGCAGGGTCACTTGTTATACAGCAGAGGCTGTGACACAGCAACATGAAACCAAGGTGAAAATGTCTCTCCTAGAAATGGCTCTGCAGATGCCCCACGGCTCCCTGTCACCACCTTGCTGGAGCAAGCACAGCCAGGGGAGCGTGGGGAGGCTGAGCAGTGCTGTGGCCTGCCCTTACCTGTAAGGCGTGAGGATGTTGAGCGGCGGGGGCTTGTCACACCTCTGGTACATCTCCATCACTGGGTTGGGGATGGAGTTGCGGGACACGACCTGCTGGTTCTGCACCGTGGAGCTCTTGAATGCTTTGCGCATGTTGATGTCTTGCAGCGAAACTGGGGACATGGGAAGGAGACCTGGTCAACAGGTGCACCGTGGCTTTAACACGGTGCCACGTCTGGGCACCGCTCATGGGTGTAGCACCAACCCCTGACCCCAGCTGAGCCCACAGCACCCACACACCGCTGGAAGCCTGGGTGCACAGTGTCCTCCCTCTCACCACGCAGAGCCAAGGCCAATACCCATTATTTCTAACCCAAAAGTGTCCTCTCAAAACAGAACCAAGCACCATGCAGGACTCACACTGCCCGTGTAAACGGGAATGTGCTTTTCACCACGTCCTCCTCTGCCTCCGCAGGGCAAAGTTAAAATGCAACTGCTGCCCAGCACGGCCTTACCCGCCTGGCCAAGATCCGCTCAGCGGCTCCTCACCTTCCTCCACGGTGGAGTCCAGCTGTGTCACCTTGATCACCAGCAGGTCCACCCTCTCCTGCAGCGAGTTCATCCGCATGTAGAAACTGTTGGCTTCATTGAAGAGCTCCCCAAAGATGTCCTCAGCATGCCTGCCTGCCGGGCCGAGCGCGAAGGGGACGCGGCATCAGCAAAGCCGCAGAGCCCGCAGAGCCCACATGAGCACGTTCCAGGAGGGGCCCAACCTCCCCATCTCTTCCCAGTTGCATTTCCCAGATATTTCCTGCAGATCACAGTGCATTTCATCACTGCTTTTCCCCGTGGGAAGGGCGGATAACAGCGCTTCCCTTTGCATTGCTGACACCTGCAGGCTACAGCCGTGTGTGCTGAGCTCTGCTTCACCAAGAAACGGCTTTAGCACAACGGTGCTACTGGAGCTATTAGGGGTTTCCTCCAAAACATTATATCGAAATGTTCCCAAGATCAAGGTGCTTTGGATACAGGTGGACATGGTTGCTGCACATGCCCGGACAAGCAGACAGAGGAGGAACAGGGGCACATGGCCTGTTGCCTGCTCATCTGGCATGGGTTTGATTTCCTTTCCCCTTGGATGTCACCTCTCCAGCCATGTTCTCTTCTTCTGGAGCCTCAGCCCTTTGGGGGGTGAAGCCTCCCTGATCCCACATGCCTCCCCAGAGCTCCCTGGACATTTTGACCACCAGAGCAGTGAACTTAGCTGGGGCCTGGGAAGGGCAGGGCATAAACCCACAAGGAGGTTTCCTATTAAAGACTCCAGGTGACTCATGAGATCTTGGATTATCCCATTCAAAGCGGTTCTGAAGATGCACTAAGGATGTCACCTTGGCCAGGGCTGCCCCAACACGTCACTCTCCCGCCTTTCCTTTCCTGCATGCAAGCGGCTTCACTGCTTCTTATGTTTAATCAAGACTCAGGTCAGCAGACGCTGACTCCCCCCCTCCTCCCCATAATTAACATTTCCTTCCTCTTGTGGGAGGATTTTTACAGAATTACAAAAATTACTGCCCAAGCTTTCCTGCTCTTTCTAGGGATTGATATTTCCCATGGAAAAGAGGGGTTTGGCTGCAAGATCGCCCTGGGAAGGGGTTTTCTCTTAGCAAGCACCTGGACCTGCCTATTTCCCAAAGCCTCGAGCCCGGCAGCACAGAGCTGTCCAGGACAGACCAGGCGCGCCGGCTCATCCCACGCCGCCGCATCCCGCTCCCATGCTGGATGCTCCGGCGCCGCCGGGGAGCGAGCTGGCCGGGCTCGCCGCGCCGCCGCACTTACTGAGGCTGCCCAGCTGCTTGATGATGGCGGCCAGCGTGCTGTTGGTGACGCACTCGAGCTCGCTCGTCACCCCCTCGGGCAGAGCCCCCCGGCACAGGTGCCGGGGCTCGATGCTCCTCTTCACGAGCGGCATCGCGGCGGCGAGCCCTCACGGTGCCCCTGTGCGCGGCGAGAGACAGCGGTCAGCGCCCGCAGCCGGGGCGGGGGGGAGGATCCCCTGCCCTCCTTTCTCCCGGGAAATCCACAGCCCCACGGATCCATCCCGCGGCCGCCCTCCCGCCGGCAGCCCGGCGCCGGGACGCTGCCGAACAAGGGCGCTTTTCATGGCGGCCTCGCATCGGCCGCACGCACAGCCGCCCGGGGCCACCCGAGCAGCCGGAGCCATGCGCACGGGGACACGTTTGCCACTTACCTTCCCCGGGCCTGAAGGCAGCCTCCGTGTCGAGCCCCCTGCGTCTCCCTGGCCGCTCGGCCGGTCGGCGCTCACAAAAAGCCCCGTGCACCCAAAATAGCAGGCGGAAACCCGCAGCCGCTTGTAATCCCATTATTTCCAGCTGAACGCAGAGCGCGCCGGGTTTTCTTCTCCCGCCGGCGTGTGCCCGTGCAGCCCCCACGCCGCCTAGCACCACCACATTCCCCTTGGCTTTGCAGGGCGATGCTCCCCATGGCCACCTGCACTGGGCAGCCCACGAGGTGGTACGGGTCACGGCTGAGGTCCCCAAGGCTGTGATATACGTGTTATATATCTATATGTACACCCCAGTGAGCAGAAAGGACACAGAAGTGGTTGCTGAAGCAGACCCAGGCCGCGGGACCGGGCAGCACCGTGCGGAGTCGACGCAGCCGAGCGTGACGTGGGGCTGCTCTGCACGCGCAGTTGGCGCGTGCCGTGGGCTGAGGACTGCTGCTTTCCATATTTTCCAGGCCTTCCTTTCCTTTCAGCAGGAAACTGGATCTCAAGGAGCATGAGGCTGCTCAAAGGGGCCGGAGGAGACGTGTGCCCGGAGAGGAGCCCAGCAGCAGGCGGGAGCCGCGTGAGCGGTGATTAACACTCCGCGGGCAGCTTAGCCGCCTCCAGCATATGGCCCAAATTCCCTCCTCCGTTACACGGGGCCTGTCAATAGGATTGCCCTGGCTACGAAGCGGCAGCTAAATCTCCCTTCTTTGCCTGCCCGGCAATCCCTGCTCCCCCCGTCCACCCTGGCTTTAACACAATCCTGTTACGCTCTGGCCGCCAAGGAAAACCAGCTTAGGGCAGTGACGCCGGGGCAGCCGGGCACCGGCCCGGAGCCGCCGGCCCGGCTCCCGCGGGTGCAGAGAGCTGCAGACATCAGATGTTTTTCGCCTGGCCATGGTGGAGCAGAACAGTTTCCTATTGATACAGCCCAGCGCTGTCCAAAATCCGGCTGTGCTCTGCAGTGCGCCCTCCGCTTTTCAAATGCAAATCCAGGCCGAGGGCAACCAAGCAGCACAATATTGTCCCTAACTCCTAAGCGGAGCTTCCAGAGGGCCCGTTGTGGCCTCTGTAAACACAAATTTCCTCCAGCTCCTCCCAGAGCTGCAAGCGTACAGAGATGAGGCCTTGGGAAGCCGATTCCAGTGGAGTCTCTTGCTACCTGTACCCAGATGTCTGTTTTGCCAGATACCAGTACTCCTTCCAGACATTCCTCTTCCCACCCAGGCCAGCCTACATGCCCTGGCAACCCCCTGTGAGTGCTCAGAGACCAGCAGGCCTGTGCATGTGTCCTGAAGCTACGTGGCATCCCTCCGCTCGTGGCAAGGGGGTCAGAGCCCTTCCCACCTGGAGCCATCTCCACGGCATTTGCAGGGGAAAGGGGTGGAGAGCTCCATGGAATTTTGCTATGCTCCACTTCCTGCTTGGAGGACCACGCAAATGCCATGGATAATTCAGATAACTGATCTAAGCGATGTAACTTCCCCAGCTTCCTCGCTCACTCTGTTCATACGCTCCCACCGACCTGCAGGGAAATACAATTGCCCTTATGTGACATCCCTGAAAATGGCGCCTGGAGCCCAGGGAGAATCCCTGGAAACGACTGCGCCGGCCAAGGCTGTCACTCAAAACTCACTGGGGGTTGCATAATTCACCATGGTCAACACAGGCCCTTCAGTTCCCGTTGTCCAGTGGCCTGGCTGGGCCGGTGGCCAGCCAGGGGACAGGCAGGCCAAGCAGGGGAGCAGCTAACGAGCTGTCAGGGCCCAGCAATTAGAACTGGGCACAAAGAGCGATTCGCAGCGTTTGCCCAGCAGTACGTGCAGTCTGCGCCCAGTGAGCGGAGGCTCTACGGACATGGGAGCAGTTTCCAGGTTCCTCCCTACTTTTCTGACGGTCACTTGGTCACAAAGGGAAACTTGAGGGAATGGGGTAATATTTTTTAAAAGAACACAATTGCTTATCTCTTGTCCTAAGTGCAATATAAGCGTGTTTGTAGTGTAACATCCCTAGTGCATGCAAGGCATCATGACTCGGGCCTCTGATTCTGGGGCTTAAAGCTTGACTTCTGATGTAAAACGCATTTGCCCAAGGGATGAGCTGTGCATGACCGCACTGGTGCCAGCGTCACTCTGTCCTTGCAGGCACATCATGCTCATGCACATGAAGATGCTGCATGCAGATCCTGCTGCTGCTCATGAAAACCAGCCTGCTCCCCCCTCCCGAGCGCTGCTGCACGCTGTGCATGAGCAGGACTTGCCCCCATTCCCACAGCTGCCTCAGTGCTGCAGGACTAAGAGGAGTCAAAATGGTTTTTGTGGTTTTTTTTTTTTTTTTTTTTTTTTTTTTTTTTTTTTTTTTTGTTGCTTTTTAACACCTAATTGAATCCATCTGGGAACTGACACATAGGGAAGGGACCTGAGTCCCTTCATGGAGTTGCTCTTCTTCTAGCCCCTGATGGCACTAATCAACAGTGACACAGCTCTGATTAACTTCACCTGGGGTTTCCTCCCACACCCTGCTCAAGGGCTCTATTTAAGCTCAGCCCAGAGCTGTTAGGCCTTTCCTGAACCATGTTGTGAGGAAGCCTGTCCTAAGCCCTGGTCCTGTTTCCTGGACAAACCTTGGATCTACACTGTAGGTGGTTTCTCTCTGGGATAGACCCCTTTGAAGGGTGTTGTAGATTGGCTTGAGCTCTGCTTCAAGTCCCATCTTTTGGGTGGACTTTGAATTTGTGTTGCAGCCTTTTCTACAGCCCTGTCTTTGGCTCCATCTCCTTTCACTCCTGTTTGGAATCTCTAGGTGGATGCTGGCCCTGATCAATGGGCTGTGGATATTTGCCTTGCCTGGGACCAGTGATGGATCTTGTTACCAGCACCTGTTCCTGCCTGCTGTGCTCCAGCCCTGTTGATGTGGACAAGGATGTGAAAAGGAATTGCTGGGCGAGTACCCTGCAAGCAGTACTTGCCTGGTATCCGTTTTCTGGAGAATGGTAGGTGGGAAAAGGAGCTTTTAAAACTTCTGCCTCTTGGTGCAGCAGCTCCCAAGGGTATGCCCTTGCCTGGGGATGCATTTTGTGGGGAGAGGGAGGTGGAGAGGAAGTGTCCCCCTTCAGGGCTCTTGCTTTCCTCCTCAGGTGTTGTACAGAGCCTTCTGCTTCCTCTGCAGGTCTGTGGGACACTGCAGGGTTAACCTCTTTTAATGGCTATGTGAAGCTGAGGCAGATTCTGGTATCACTCATGAGGATTAAAATCTACGAGGTTTATCTTTCAGTGCAGATTCAGAGTCCTTGGTGGAATAACTGGTGTCAAATTGGAGGATGAGACTCAAAATGATCTTGGGAGCAATTTTTTGAGAGAGAAAAGATGGACTTTTGGGGGAGCAGCTGCTGTGTGGGGCCATCTCCACACTGAGGTCTCATCAACTGTCTCTTCTCTGCTGATTGTGGGATAACATTAGAATGAATAATACTAAAACTTGCCATATTGGAAAGTCTCCCTGGTGAAAGGCGCTGTGACAACCCTTGTGGAGCTGTCAACGTGAGAAGAGACTCATTGCTGCTGATGCTGACTGGAAACCGTCTGCTGCTCAGCAGTGCATCACTGCCTCCTCCGGTAGCGCGTTTCAGTTTCCAAACTACATCTGTCAAACATCCTTGGCATTTTGGCTGTGGCACTTGTGTTGACCTCCCCAGGCTGTGTATGTTCTGGAGATGAATTGGTTTGTCTCAGCCCAGTTCGCTGCATTTGCTAAATCTAGTGTGCTCACTGCTGCAAATGCCAGCCCCTTTACTGGATTTGGGCCTTCCTCTAAGGATACAGGGCACCTTGGCATTCTTCAGGGCCATGGATATGCCAGTGCCTACCACACCTGCACTTAGGTTGGGCACCAGCTTGCAGACAAGGTAGCATTGACTCCTGCATCTCCTCTCTATCAGCTGCCTTCCAAACAGTGCTAAAGAGCTTGGAAAACTGCATCTACTTCACTGCTGCCCAAGCAAAGACTGGCTGCAAGTCAGTGATGCCTGGGCAGGGAAGAGCATAACACAGAAAATGAGCAACAGCTTTAAGTTCTGCCCAGAAGGCTGCCTTATCCCAAAGGAAAACTAGGAAGCTTATCTGCAGTAACCCTTGTCAATGGATGCTGCTGAAGGACCTGCCCTTGCTTCCCTAGGCCATACAGGAAAGCACCACAGGAGGCACGGAATAAGGAATGCCCAACAACTGCCACCCTGTGGCCCCTGCAGACCAGGCTTGGCCATGAGCACAGTGGTTTCTGCAGGGGTACAGCACAGAGGTGACTCTCTTCTGGCTCCTTCCAGCTGTTGGTGCTGACAAGGAGATGTTGGGCTGCCTGCCTTCATCTCACCAACCATCACTTTTGGTGACCTACATCTTGAGTAAAGCCCTGAGCATCAAACAAAACTTCTCAGAGAACCTTTCCTGCCTTGCCCCGCTGGGACACTTTCATCCAGTGCTAGCCTCTCTATAAAGCACTGATCTTGTTTCTGCTCGCAACTTATACAACTTCCTAGTTGGGTCCATTCAGCAGGACTCACTTCAATCCTTTTGCTCAGCCCCCTAGATGAGTGTCCGACACAAACTCACCAGAGTCCTGCTGACTCCCTGGTTCCTGGCAGCACTCACTACTCCAGTTCCTGGCAGAGTCAGAGTATTTTGCAAGGAAACGAAAGCATTGGATGGATGCCAGAAGCCAAAGTAGTACAAAAAATTATTAAAGTAGTATACTGAAAATCTATAATCCTTGAATGGCAAAAGACAAAAATATTTGCAAGTGAATATCAAGGGAACAAAATATGCTGGAATCTCTGCTCAGGTCAAAAGCCCTTTGGGTGCAGACATCCTGGGAACAAACAAGTGAGAAGGGCTCGTGGGATCAGAGGAAACACAAGGCAGTCCTTACATATTTAAAGAAGCAGACCCAAGAACTGGGAAAAGTACAAGAGGTGGGGATGAGACTCAGCTGGGCTCTGAGGTGCCTGGAGGAACTCATCTTAAGGCAGGTGGCAGGGAAGGTGATGCATTGAGGAACAGGCCAGGATGGATCCTGGTGGGGTGAAGTGTCCAAGTGCTTCAGCTGCAGCAGAGGTGGGAACCAAACCTGCCCAACAGCCTTTCAGCATGCTTCTCATCAAGAAGAGTCAAGGGAAGCAGTGTAACAAGATCAGACTTCTGAGGTGCTGATCTGTGAGCTCAAGCAGACACTAAATAGGGCATTTTACTTAAGATGGGGGCAACTGGTAGAGAGCAGCAACCCGAGAGGATTTAAAGCCATGAATGGTGCCAAGAACATGAGCAGGGGATGGTTATTCATAATTACGCAAGGATTAAACGCAGCCAATGAAATAACTATCAAACATAAGGAGCAATGTATAGCTTCCCCCCCAAAAAAAGTAGAACTGCCTCCCTTGGATGTTGTGGAAATCATGAGTTCAGGAGGGTTCAAGAAGGGACAAGATGAATTCATGGTGAACAAGTTCAGCAGCATCTGGTGGCAGAGAGGTAACGTGGCTCAACTAGGCCTGGCCTCATGGGTCTCAGTCTCAAGTTTGGGCTGTCAGGACCACACGCAGGAGCGGAGTCTGTCCCATGGGGACCGAAGCACCAGCTGGTACCAAGCGTGGAGGCCGCTCTGCAGTGCAGGGGAACTTGCTTGCAAGGAGCCAGACCCAGATCGACTGATTTCACACAAAATGGAGTGTGATCCACACAGGGGGCCTTGGTCTTATTTATGAAATGCATCTGTGATAGCTTAATGTGTTGCTGGCAGAGATGGCCATGAACATTAACAACACGTGCCGTTGCTTCATGTAAAGCCGATAATCCAGAACTGCTGTCCAAAGGTTAATTAAATACTGCCGGATTGCAAATGCCCCCCTTCTCCTTGCTTAAAATAAAGTGGAGAGGTGATGGATGCAGAAGTGGTGATGATGGCCTGCCTTCCTCCCGCTGTTGCTGTGTCCTTGTCTACAAGGGCCTGCTGCTCGCTGCAGGCTGTGGAGAAGCTTCCCAGGCTGCAGGAGAAACCTTAACACATTTTCTGGCAGCGTGTCAGGCGGCAAGATGCTATGGTGGACTAAAAAGCCAAGGTGAGGAGCTACAGGACGCAGAGGTGCTGCTTCTCAGTCTCCGATTTAAAGGCTACTGGCCCAGGCGCGATGGGGAGTCGCTGCTTCTGCAGCACGTACGAAACATGCCGAGATGTCTCAGCTCCTGTCCTGCTCGCTGTCAGTGCGGGCTGACCAGGCTGATCCAAGGGTAAAAAGCTCAGGGTTTGCAGCCAAAGGGGTGAGAGGGCCCAGCTGGAGCGAGCGGGGCCGCGTGGCCGCCCCGGCGCGGAGCGACGCTCCCGCAGCTCTCCCACGGGCCATCTGCACCTCTCCTCCCCGCTTCAGCAACAGCAGCTCTCCCCTTGCTGAGAACTGAGAGCAGGCTGCAGCAAGTGGAAAAATCTTCTTGTGAAGCGCAACATAACATTAAATCGTGGCTAAAAATATTCCCAAAGAGTTTTATTAATAAATGCCATGGTACCTTTTTTTTTCCTCCCTCCCTTCCACTGCAAAATGTATCAGCACTTGACTAAATTGCCTCTAAATCATGGATACCTTTGAAGACTCTGCAACAGAAACCTTTGCCAAAAGCTCTGCTCCTAGGAGGCTGCCATAAATGCAACTGCCTCTTAACCTTATGGTTAGTATAAAAAGCCAGCCTTGCTGTTCCTGTGTTTCAAAATGGAGACCTTAATATGTTTCTTTTTCTAAACTATATGTTTTTGAACAGAGAGGTGACTATCAGAAGCTATGCAATAATTAGCAAGGGGCTTCCCAGCAGCTAATTTCCAATGATTTTGATTTATTTTGATTTTCTTGTTCTGCTATCTGGGCCCTTAGAAATGGGGAGCATCCAGTGTCGGTGATGCCTCAGGTCTGTGGCCCCAGGTCTGAACTACCGTGCGTGGAGGTGGATGGAACTTGGTGCTGTGATCTATCTTCTCTGTCTCTTATTTTCTCCATGCCTGCCTTTTTTTTCCTACAAATGCCCTGGAGAAGAATTACATCTTCCTTAATCTTCAAGTACATGAAAGGAGCTATAGGATGGGCGGTGAAAGCAGCGGAGCAAATTCAGTGTGTTTCGGGAAAGCTGGTCTGGCCTTGCAGGATGGGGTTTGTGGATGGGTTTCCCCACCAGTGTCGCAGCAGGGCCACCACAAGAGCAGGTGAGTCATGGGGGTCTCCTGAGGCTTGTATTACCTGCACATGCAGCCTGGCTGCCCCTGCCATGGGCTGGTGGGACCCCTCAGTGGCATCTCCTGAGCCAGCTGCTCCCTGCCCGGTGCCACAGCTCGTGGGGAGGCACCTGGGAGGGTCAAGCTTCCAGCTGTCCTTATCTGGAGGAACAGCTAAAACAAAATCCTTGTTTTGGGGGGGCTGTGAGCCTGTCTGTAACTTGTGAGGATCTTGGTGTGCCCTGCTCATGTGTTGGCTCCCCTAAAATGGAGGCTGAGCATCTCCAGCTCAGAACTCGGCTAAGGGAGGTGATGGCTCCAAGGGAAATGTGCTCCAGCTTGAGCTTCCTCTTCCTCAGCTCCCTGAGGAAGAAGCAGCTATGGGGAGACTCAGCCCCTCCACAAGCTGTAGGTGAGCCCAGCTCCATGTGCCCTGGGTTTTTTATAGAAAAGCACTGAACATGTTAACCCTCCAGATGCCATGTGGAGCTTTGCTGGGCCCATGCCCTCTTCAACCTGCCCTAAGCATCCAGTTGCTGGTCCAGATCTGCACATCAAGAAGATCCAGAGATACTGCCCCAACACTTCGATTTCAGCCTGAAGGAAGCCACCAGCAGCAAGTGAGTAAAGGGGGGCTGTGCCTTGGCATCCCAAAGTTTAGGAGATGAGTTACTCATCCTGCTCCTCTATCTAGGGGTTGTGTCCGGCCGAGGAGCAGCTAGTGGAGCTGCCAGATGTGAGGCAGCCGCACGCGACGCAGGCACAAACTACGCTCAACTGCACCGTTCCTGGCTCTTAATCCACAAGAATTTTACGGCACCGACACAACCACAAGGCAGGCAGAGCTCGGGAGGCTTTTAAGCGATGGAATTAAAGCTCTGGCAAGTAGCTCAATCACATTGCGTGGGACTGGGCTCCACACCTGGGGTGCTGGTGTGCACGGCCTGGGGGGTGCCCTGGGGTGGGGAGTTTGGGGCAGGTGGGTGATGCTCCTTACATGAGGATGTAGAGTGGCAGAGACACCTACCCCTCATGCAAAGGTACAAAGTGGTTGGAGATGCATCCCCTCCCCACGCAGGAGCATAAACAGTGGGAATTTCCCCTGCAAATGGCAGTGATGGTAGACCCACACTTCCCCCCCAAACCCCCAAAGCTGTTGGGCGGTAGGGAACCCCCCATATGAGGTTGCCAAGGAGTGAGGGTCCCCCTGAGGCAAAGGAGCCACCCCTGCAAACGCAACACCCAGCACTGGGGACCGCTCTCTGCAAGGATGCTGGGGTGGAGGGATAGGGGGGGATGGAGGGCTGTGCAGAGCTGGACAGTGGTGGGGAAGGCCCCTGCCTACAGGCATGATGCCAAGTAGTGGGGACCCCAACATATGAGGGGGCCAAGTGGTGAGGGGGGCCTGATGTAAAGCTG